TGCTGTGTCATGATTTGGTTCAGTTCAGTTTATTAAGTCTGTAAAAGTCATCAATTTTAAACAACTTCAATTTCAGCTCTACAGAAGTCATTATTCAGATCAATTCAGGCTTTGAAACCCAACAAAAAACTCCATCAGGTGACAGAAAAACCTCTTAAAGGGGCTTCAAAAGCCTTCGTTCACTCTTCCACAAATGAAGGCCTAATGAATTCTTAAATCAGAGTCTTCACTTCATAAAGTCATGGCATTAAATGCTGCATGCATCATTAAAAAACAATATATGTGTCCCTGCAGCACAAAAGCAGTGTTGAGTCGCTGGGGGATATTTGTAGCAATAGCCAACAATACATTGTATGGGTCACAATTATACATTTCTCTTTTATGCCAAAAATCATTAGGATATTAAGTAAAGATCATGTTCCATGAAGATATTTTGTAAATCTCCTACTGTAAATATATCAAAACTTAATGTTTGATTAGTAATATGCATTGCTAAGAACTTCATTTGAACAACTTTAAAGATGATTTTCTCAATATTTAGATTTTTTTGCTCCCTCAGATTCCAGATTTTCAAATATTGTCCTCTCCTAACAAACCATACATCAATGGAAAGCTTATTTATTCAGATTCCAGATGATGCATACATCTCAATTTTGAGAAATTGACCCTTATGACTGGTTTTGTGCTCCAGGGTCACATATTCTTGCTTTCCAATAAAAATATATAAAAATCAATCACAAATCAAGGTACATCTAGCTTAAACTCAATTCTGCTCATTTTTCTGAGAAACTGAACATAATTGAGTGTATGCTTAAAACAAGAACTGATGAAATGAAAACTTGTTTCCCTTTGAATTAAGTTTATTTTTAGTCCTTTGGCAGATATTTGCTCTTGTTTTAATCATAAACTCACTTCATTTTGATCAGTTTCTCAGAAAACAAGACTTCATGTCTTCTGTCGTTCTGCTTCTCCAGTAAAAGTATTTTGATTTAAGAATCTTTTGCACTGCAAACACTGAAAAAGAGCATCACTTATTTTGCAGGTGTTCGTGGAGACGCTGGACAAGTGCTTCGAGAACGTGTGTGAGCTGGACCTGATCTTTCACGTGGATAAGGTGATGCACGCTTCACAATCGAGTGCTAGCGCGAGCCGCGGGGCGCTGACTCGTCTGTTCTGTGTGTCCGCAGGTGCACAACATCCTAGCGGAGATGGTGATGGGCGGCATGGTGCTGGAGACCAACATGAGCGAGATCATCACGCAGGTGGAGGCGCAGGGCAAGATGGAGAAGTCTGAGGTGAGAGCGGCTCCGCTGCTGCATGCGTGTGCGTGTGGAACGCATGTCCCAGAATGCCGTTCTGTGGTGTCTGCTGCTGCTGCTCTTCTGTGATCGATCTGAAGAACAGATCTTCTGCCCTCGACGGGAAACACAGGCAAATGCGTTGCATCGTGAGCGTTTGAACGAGGCTCCCTTTGATCATTTCCATCCCACACACGCAAAACCATACCGAACATCACCAAACGCTGAGACCTTGATTTCTACAGCGCTTTATACAGTACAGCTTCACAGAGATAAACAGGAAGAATGATGGAAACTTATTAAACAAATCCAAATTCAGCTGATTTAAGCTCTACAGGAGACATTATTCAGATCAATTCAGATTCAGTTTGGTTTGATAACGAACAAGTTCAGTTCATTCAACTCTAGTCGGTTCAATATTGATTCAATTCAGTTTAATATAAGTGTCAATGTTGCAGAATTCGTCAATTGTGAAACAAGTTAAAATTCAGCTGTAAAGCAGCTCTACAGGAGACAGAGTCATTATTCAGATAAGTTCAGTTCTAGTTTTGTTCTCATCTGATAGTGTCAGCGCAGTTAAATCAATATTAAGTGTCTTTTAAACTCAGACTAGTCAAGGCAAAGGTAAAATTATGTTCTGTGTCAGTATCAGCGCTCTAATGATGCACTCACTCACTCACTCACTCACTCACTCACTCACTCACTCACTCTCACACACAC